GGGTGCATTCAACCTCATACCCCTGTTCTAGTATGAACAAATCTGTTTTATTTTTCCTTCAGTGAATAAAAGATAAGAACAAAAGATCATGGAATTTTAGTGATTTTAGTAAGTTACTGTGGCAACTTTTCCCATTTAGGAACAAACCAGTTTCATTAAAATATAGGCATAGAAACTAATGTACACAAGTTATGAAAATGCACAGAAAATTGAGGTTGCCAACCCGATACCGGTACTAATACTGCGGGTAATTTGACATTTACAAAAAAAAGAAGTTTCAGGCAGTTATCTAGATTCAAGATATACTGTTTCACATAATAAACGAGTGGGGGGAGCTGGAAAATAATAAACGGGGAGGGAAGAGGCTCTTTCGATACCTAAATTAGAGTACATGTATCTTGGGCCAAATCACCAAAAGACACCAAACATGCTCCGCTGTTGAAGTGGTGATCCAGAAGGGCAACCGTTTAGGTAAAACAGCTTTAGATTTTGGAGCTAAATACAGACACTTCAGAGATAAATCAAATTGAACGTCAAGAAAAAATCCAGGTTTAAAAAATGATTGAAGTTTTGGTTCTTTAGATGACATATTATATTGAGCTTCTGTTGAAAAATCACATCATCAAGGCTTCAACTTCAAGAATCTATCTTGAAATCACAATTGATAAAGTACGTGAGACTTAGATTCACAAAGTCAATTGTGGAAGACAACATAGCAAACTTCCCTAGAGAGAACTTGAGAGCCATTTTACATACCCCTAACCAAAGCAGAAAGAGATAATCAATTTACCCACCCCTAACCAAAGTGGAACGACCAAAAGAATAAAAAAATATCATCCTGTTTGAATCCAAGCTTGAGTTTGCTGAACAAGAGTGACGACCAGACTCGGCCTCAAAGTGTGCGAGCCTCACACGACCTGCTGGTGGGGTTCATCAGTCGATAGCTTCGGCCTACACCCATGTCCTGTCGTCGGAGTGGTGGTCGTCTCCCATGTCACGCCGCCCTCAACGACATCGTGAAGCGTGCGCTCAATGCATCCGGCCTACACTGCATCCTTGAACCCTTCGGCCTCGATAGGACCGACGGCAAAAGGCCAGATGGCATCACCATCTTTCCTTTCGAGGGTGGCAAATGCCTCGTGTGGGACGCTACATGCTCTGACTCTTTTTCACCGCTGTCCATCACCTCCTCGGCCTCTGCTCCCGGCAGTATCCCCAATAAGGCTGAGGGAGCCGAAATTAGATAATTACGCAAGCCTCAGCGACCGCTAAAATACTACAATGTACTCCGTCCCAGTGGCAGTCGAAACATCCGGCGCTCTCGGTCCCCTGACGACCCAGTTCCTTCAGAAAGTTGGTCGTCGGGTTAGCAAACGCACTGGAGGCCCACGTGAAACGAGCTGGTTGTTCGAGAGAATCTCTCTGACGATCGTTAGAGGCAACGCCTTCTCAATATTGGCAGCCCCAATGGCGCATGAGTGATGGAATACATCTCCCGATAGATAGATGGAAAATTATGTATCGATGGATGGATGGATGGATAGATAGATGGATAGATAGATAGATAGATAGATAGATAGATAGATGGATGGATGGATGGATGGATGGATCAATGGATGGATGGATGGATAGATAGATAGATAGATAGATAGATAGATAGATAGAGAGACGCGGTCAAAATGAAGTAGAAAGACAGTGTGTGTGTGTGTGTGTTTGTGTGTGTGTGTGTGTGTGTGTGTGTGTGTGTGTGTGTG